CGCTTTTGCCGCTGAGCTAAATCCCCAGCCCCTCTCGTTTGTTTTTTAAGGAAAGGTTTATTTAGCTCACAGTTTGTGGAGGGTTCAGTCCATAATCGGCTGGCTCCAAAGCAGGGTAGCGTGTCAGCGGGGCAACAGGTCACAGCAGCAGAAGACAGCAAAAGCAACAGTGGAGGCTCTTCCTTTCCCTTATATAGTATGCAGGCTGCCCGCTCTAAGGTGGGTGTAGCATTCACACCCTTAATATCACCATTGGGCCATGAATCAGTCACAGACTCTAAATGCAGCCACCTCTGAAAAGGTGGCTGAATTTAATAAATCCAGGAACCTCCAACCCCAATGACTGCATGAGACTTTGGGGGAACATCTGGACATAAACCATAACATTTTACCCTGGACCCCCAAAGACTCATGTACATTCCTTTGTGAAAAAGGCATTTAGTCCTTCTCTAAGAGTTGCTAAAGTCCTAATAGTCTCAGCATTGCTGAAAAGTCCAAGTCCTAAGTCTCCTCTGATATTTAAGGCAAGCTCTTAGTTATGAGCCCCTGTACAAATGAAAAGAAAGTTAATCACCTGCAACACTCAGTGGTACAAGATAGACATTGCCATTCCAAAAGTCACATACAAGGGGATACTAGGGTTACTTTGTGAGTTTACCCAAACTGAGACAAGTGTGCGGTGCAGGAAAGATGCATGGATGGAACTGGCAAATAAAATAATGGGTGGGCCACATGCAGACTAAAGTGTTGGATTCTGACTTAAAGCCTGCTCCCAGATGCAGCAGTACAATTTCAGTACCTGAACTCACTTGCCACTATAAAGCCTGCCACCAAATGCACCTTGTCACTTTGCACTCAGCGATAGGATTTTGGTAAGTCTGCCTATAATTATTATAGTCTATGCAGTCAGACCTTCTGCTAATGTTAATCTGTGTTTGCTGCTGCTTCCCAGTGCTAGCATCACCACCTTAGCTCCACCTCAAGTCATCAGACATTAGATTCTAATACTGAGTGCGCAGCCTATGAGTTCAAACTCCTATGAGAATCTAATGCCCCTGCTGACCTGGCAGGGGGCAGAACTTCGGTGGTAATGGGAGCTGTGGGACCAAGTGTAAGTGCAGATGATGCTTCATTTACCTGCTGCTCACATCCTGCTTTGCAGCTCGATTCCTGACAGCCATGGGCTGGTACCAGTCTGTGGCCCTGGGGTTGGAGGTTCCTGGATGTATTAATAAACTAATGTTTAGTTTTTTCTCTATCAGGATTTTCTCAGTTTAATCTTAGATGTCAGTTTTTAAGCTCATAAATTGCCCTGTTCCTCCCTCCAACAGCCATGAGGTACGTCCCACAAGGGCCATGAGTAGCATCACCTTCAAGCTAGAAATGAGACATTGACAGCAGTGTTACATTTGCCTTTGTACTGTGTGAAGTTGAATGATGGCTGGGTGTGGGTGAAAAGACTTCATTCTCACCTGTTTTTCCCTTATATATAGATAATAAAAGGAAATCCTGAGGCAGAAGTCAAAATTTTTGGCAACAAGGCGATGCAGACAAAAGCAAAAGCGATGATAGATAATTTTGTTAAAGAACAAGAAAATTACACTCCAGAATACAGAGTTGGTAAGTAATCTTGCCCACTGAAGTCCTTTAAAATTTTACAAGTTTCTTTCAGTGTTATAAGCCATTATACCGGAATTGTTTCTTGATACAAAGCTCTAGAGTTCCACAATCTGGTCGTACATTTTTTCCAGTGAAAGCCCAGATTATTTGCTTTCTTCAGACTAAAATTAGTTAATATCCGTGACTGCTTAATATCGTGTTTAAATCCAGCTTAACTTTTCACCATACTTAAACAAAGATGAAACAACCCTTTAATAACATACTCACTTTAGTATTAATGGTAAGATTGGTCCTGGGCTGCTGACTCATATTTCTTCACTAAATCTAGGACTTACTTTAAAAACTAGTATTTTTAAAGTATCACATCTGTTCAGAGAAAAATTCCACATGCAACATGGAACAAAAAAGAACACTAGCTCAGATGACAGTGTTGCTTCTTAGGGTTTCTCAGAAGGGAACATAATCACTAAGGTTCCATTTTTTCATCTATTACCCTAGGGTATTGTCTGCCTCACGGCTAACGTGCCGGGTGTGGTGGCACACACCGGTAATTCCAGCACTCAGGAGGCTGAGGCAGGAGAATCGTTGTGAGTTTGAGGTCAGCCTGGGCTACAAAATGAGTTCATGAGCAGCCTGAGCTGCATAGTTGAGACCTTGTCTCAAAAAGACAAAAAAAAAACAAAAAACAAAAAACCAAGAACTAAGTAAGATGGCAGTATTTCAGCACACACTAGACTCTTCATGCTATTTTCTTTCCTTCTCCAATAAATTAAAATTTTTAAGTCAAAAAATGACAAAAAGTATGACCAGAATGTCATGATAATGTAGTATAAATACACCCCCTTTGTCTTGTTTTCTTTTTTGTTTTTGTTTTGCTAAGGATTGAACCCAGGGCTTTGTGCACTAGGTAATGAAAACTTCAAAATTTATATCTCAAGAACTATTGCCAGACGTGGTGGTGCACACCTGTAATCCCAGCACTCAGGAGGCTGAGGTAGGAGGATCGTTGAGTTCAAGGCCAGCCTGGGCTACAAAGTGAGCTCAAGGCCAGCCTGAACTGCATAGCAAGATCCTGTCTCAAAAAGACAAAAAGAAAAAACATACATATATTGTCTGATTATTAATAAACACAAAACAGAAAAGACAGCTTTGAGAATTTTATACTGGTAGGATTTATTGTGAAACTAACATGGTACAATTTTTTTAACAGATATTGTTGCATTCCGACCTTCCGTTGCAAGAGATGTAAGTGCACATTATAATGTTGCAGAAGATCAGCCATTGATAAATTGGGATAAAATTCGAGAGAATGCTTCGAAATGGGAAAAAAAAAAGTGGGCAGGTCAGTGCTGCACCCCAATGTTTACACACAGCACTGGTATTTCTTTTACCTTCAGATCTTATCCCCTCATGTCTGCCTTATTTTTAGTAATGAAATCAAAATGAAAAATAGAAAATTTGCCATTAGTCTGTAGATCGTGATTATATATGCTTTATTTACTTATTTATTTATTTTGGTCTTTTTTGAGACAGCATCTCACTATACAGTTCAGGCTGGACTTGAGCTCTCTTTGTAGCCCAGGCGGGTCTCGAACTCACAGCGATCCTCCTGCCTCAGCCTCCCCAAGTGCTGGGATTACAGGCGCGCACCACCACACCCGGCAAATACATCCATTTTAGATTTCACGTAGTAGGGAGAACATGTGATATTTACCTCTGTGGCTGGTTTATTTCATCCAACATGGTGCTGTCCACATCCACCCATTTTCCTGCAAATGGCAGTTTTGTTCTTCTTTGGGGCTCTCTAATACTCCATTTTGCATATCTGCCACATCTTCATTATCAGTTCATCTGTTGATGGGCAGCTAGGCTGTTTCCACGTCTGGGTACAGTACTGTGAATTGTACTGCAGTAAACATTCATGTGCTGGTATCCCTGTATGTGAGGTATATCACCTCACGTACATATCAAGTTGTGGTATAACTCGATCAGATGGTAGTTGTGTGTTGTCTTTTTGTTTTTTGTTTTTTTTTTTTTTGGTAGGTCTGTTTTTAGTTCTTTGAGGATCCTCAGTACTGATTTCCATAATGGTAGAATTCTCCCAGAACAGTATAAAGTGTTCCTTTTTGCCTGCATCCTTGCCAGCGTTCATTGTTTGTTTGTATTTTTGAAGACTTGGATGAGATGGAATGTTAGTGTAGTTTTGATTGTCAGTTCCCCAATGGCTAAAGATATCTAACAATTTTTCATGTACTTATTAAGCATTTGTACTTCTTTTGAGAAGTGTTCCCCATTTATTGATTGGGCTGAGTTTTAGGTGTGTTTGCTTCTTTGTTTTGTTTTGTTTTGTTTTGAGACAGAGTCTCACTATGTAGTTCAGGCTGGCCTTGAACTCACAATGATCCTCCTGCCTCTGCCTCCTGAGTGCTGGGATTATACGTGTGTGCCGCCATGCCCGCTGGTTGGTTTTTTACATTATTATTTATATATTTTAAATACCAATCCTCTGTTGGAGGGGTAGCTGGCAACAATCTTCTCCCATCTGTAGATCATCTCGTCACTCTGTTTTCCTTAATGTGCGAAACATTTTTTTCCTTTTTTGATTTTCTGAGACAGGATCTCACTATGTGGTCAAGGCTGGCTTTGAACTGACTGTGTAGCCGAGGCTGGCCTCAAACCACAATGATCCTCTTGCCTCAGCTTCCTGAGTGCTGGGATTATAGGCATGCAGCACCACACCTCGCTTGTGTAGAAATTTTAATTGGATGTACGTAGTCCCATTTGCTGGTTCTCCCTGTTTCCTATGCTATTACAGTGCTACTGAGGAAGTCTTTGCCTACACTTGTGCTTCAAGTGCTTCCCCTGTTTTCTTTTGGCAGTTTCAAAGTTTCAGGTCTTACATGTAGGGTTTTGGCCCATTTTGAATTGATTTCTGTTCAAGGTGAGAAAGAGAGATGTAGTTTCTGTCTCCTACAAGATACCCAGTTTTCTAGCACCATGTGTTAAAGAGGCTGTCTTTTTTCTAACGTATGTTTTGGTTCCTTTGTCCAGAATCAAATGGCTGTAGTTGTGTGAGTTTGTTGTGTGTCCTCTATTCCATTGGTTGGTCTGAATGTCTATTTTTGTGCCCATACCATGCTGTTTCTGTTACAATGGCTTTATAGTATAACTTAAAATTGGGTGTTGTGTAATGCCTCCAGCTCTGCTCTTCTTTGTTTAGGATGACTTTGGCTATTCTGGGTCTTTTGTGTTTCCATATTGTTTTTAGAATTGTCTTTTCTAGTTCTGTGAAGAGTATCATTGGAATTTTTATGGGGATTGCATTGATTGCTTTTGGTAAATATAGTCACTTTAACAGTATTAATTCTGCCAATCCCTGAACATGGGAGGTCTTTCTATCTCCTGGTATCTTCTTCAATTTCTTTCCATTTGTTCTGAAACTTTCTTCACCTCCTTGGTTAGACTGATCTTAGGTATTAGTTTTTGAAGCTATTGTGAGGGGACTTGTTTTCCTGATTTCTTTTTCAGCTGTTCCATTATTGGTCAACAGTAAGGCTATTGATTTTTTCACATTGATTTTATATCCTGCTGCATTGCTGAATTCATTTATCAGCTCTAAAATTCTCTTGATAGAGTCTTTAGGTTCTTCTGAGTATACGATTATATCATCTGCAAATGGGATAATTTGATTTCTTCTGTTTGCATCTGTATTATTTTTCTTCTGGCCTAATTGTGCTAGCTGAAATTTCAGGAACTACACTGAACAAAAGTAGTAAGAATCGATGTCCTTGCATTGTTTCTGAGCAACAGTTCTTAAGGCAGGTTTTGTTTGAATTTTAAATGAAATCTCCCACATGCTGTATCACAGATGGGGGATAATGTTTCAAAATAAACTCAGGCATTAATTTTCGCTGTCAGTGAGGCAGCAATATAGTGTGTATTACTTAAAATTAAAAAGTTAGTGCATTAATATGTATGTGGGAAGATTTGGTATAGGGGACCAAGAAAAGGATTTAGCTTCATAAGAGGCATGATAGGTATTTAAGAAATACTGTCTCAAAGAATAGAATGAATATATAAATTTATTTCCTAAGAAGTGATAGTAGGGACCTAGCAGAGCATAGGAGCACACACTGTAATCCCAGCACTCACAAGGCTGAGATAAAAGATTTCCATAAATTCGAGGCCAGCCTGGGATACACAGTGGTTTAAGGCCAGCCAGAGCTATGTAACAAACCCTATCTCAAACAAACAAAATGAAAATAAAAAAAGTAATGCTAGCGACCTTAAAAGAAAACAATCCATTATGTTTGAAAGCAGAGACATCAAATATAGTGCTTGCCTGTCTTGTAAAGTATGCTTTACTTTATTTGAAACTTCAATATTGAAGATCCTTTCCAAATGTGATTGAAAGACAGAAGGCGACCCCTTAGCCTGGGCTGGGTCTGCGTGACAGAGCACATAGACCTGTCTGACCCTGTCTGCATCGTGGGCTACTTGATACTGTAGATAGCGAATGTTAATGGAATATAAATTCTGGTTATTTACCAAAGTGCGGATTTTCATCACCTTCCCAGATTTACCTCCAATTAAGAAAAACTTTTATGTGGAGTCGGCAGCAACAAGGACAATGTCGCAAGTGCAAGTAGACAACTGGAGGTGGGTAGTTTTATTTCTTATTTCTATCTTCTTTTTCTGACACTGGGGATTCAACCCAGCACTTTCCCACGGAGCTGTATCCCCACCCCTTCTTTCCTTTGTGAGTCAGGGTCTCACTGAGCTTGAACTTTGGGTCCTCCTGCGCCACCCTCGCAGAGTCCCGGGATTCCAGGCCTGGACCACTGCGCCCGGCTGGGGGCTTGTTGTTGTTCGGTGTTTTTTTTAACCTTAGTAAGTGGTTCTGTTATTAATATTAACCCCTTGGGCAGTGATTTGAAACGGTTGCGTCTGAAGACTGCACACACCACCCATGTTCACTCAGATGAAACGTGGTTGTCCGTCCTGCATGATTTACTTTAGAGCGCTGGTGTCCAAACCCACGCTGCAGTGATGGAACGCGGCCTGTGTTTGCGTCTAGAGGGGCCATAAATAGGTACTGAGCACGTGAAATGCGGCGGTATAACTGGAGGGATGGAGTACAGTTACATTTTCATGTATTTTCCCATTAGTGCATAGCAGTTGTGCACACGAAGGGCGTCCTTGGAGATATATCTGGGCACGTGACATACTAGGAGCATTTTTACACCCCCCACCCCCATCCCCAGCGTGGCCCTCCTTGCCTTGCGCCCCCCCCCCAGGTTCATATTTATGGGAGAGGCTTCAGTGTGCATGCTATATTTTTAATTCTTACTGTAGAATACACACCTAATATAAGAGTTAACTAAAAAACAAAAGTGTACTATAACACGGCGCTGTGCCGTGATGCCAGCAGCCTCACCCCTGCTGAGCTGGTGCGTCGGTCGATGAAGAGGCCGTGTGAGTGACTGACAGAACACCTGAGCTTGGCGAAGCCACTGTGAGGTTTGCACGACCAAGAAATCGCTTACGTATGCGTTTCTCAGAATGGGTCCCCATCGTTACATGACACGGCTGCATTTTAATTCTACATTTAAAGACACGCGTGCGTAATTCAGGCCTGGTGACTTGGACCCCAGCAACTCAAGGCTGAGGTAGAAGGATCACAAATTTCAGACCACCCTAGCCCTGTCTCAACACAAAATTTTTAAAAAGGGGAGGGGATGTAGCTCAGTGGTAGAGCGCTTGCCTAGCACACACAAGGCCCTGGGTTTAATCCCCAGTATCGAAAAAAAGAAAATCAGATGTGCCTAGTGCTTGTTGGGTTAGACAGCAGTTTTAGAGGCTTACTTCTCCAGTAGTTGAAAATTGTAAAAGGAGTTGATCTGTTTTCCGTATTAGAATAATTTCTTAAACTCTTTAATTCTTATCTGAAACTGAAGATTCTAATAGCAATTTTTTTAAAAAGATCTTAAGAAAAAAGCTATAGAAGAATGACATATAACAGAAAGAGAGTTGAGGGAAGAATCAACCTTGGGCAAGTAATCAATCTTATGATCAGCTATTAAGTGAGAATAATTCCAGCCAGGCGTGGTGGCACATGCCTGTAATCCTAGCACTTGGGAGGCTGAGGCAGGAGGATCATTGCAAGTTCGAGACCAACCTGGGCTACAAAGTGAGCTCGAGGCCAGCCTGAACTGCATAACAAGACCTTGTCTCAAAAAGATAAAAATAAATAAATAAACAAATAAATAAATGTGAATAATTCCTACCTCATGCAGTTATTAAGGATTAAGAAAATATGAGCCAGGTGTAGTGGTACACGCCTATAATCCCAGCACTCAGGAGGCTGAGGCAGGAGAATCACTCCAGTTCAAGGCCAGCCTAGGCTACATAGTGAGTTCAGGGCCAGTCTGAACTACATAGTGAGACCCTGTCTTAAAAAACAAAACCAAAAAAGTATGGGAATTGTGGAGGCCATCACGTGTTTGCCAGACGTTGTTCTGAATTATAAAGCATGATTTATGGACTCCATTTTTAATAACCTTTTATCCATGAAACTTTCATTGGCTGACCCATACAATTGAAACTGATTTTCCAGCCAGGCTTAGTGGTGCATCCTTGTAATCCCAGCACTTGGGAGGCTGAGGCAGGAGGATCACTGCAAGTTCGAGGCCAGTCTGGGCTACAAAGTGAGCTCAAGGCCAGCCTGAACTGCATAGCGAGACCCTATCTCGAAAAGACAAAAAAAATAAGAAATGGATTTTTCCCTTTCCTCTGCAACTGTTCTCAGTAGGGGAAAGATGAGCTCCCGTTTCTATTCTTTACTATGTCTCACTATAAATTTACTATGTCTCACTATAAACTAACACTGGATTGAATCAGTCACAGTTGAATTCTAGATAAGAACTGAACTGGTTTTTAAAAAATAAACCTTCCTTGGGAAGTAACATGCATTAATCCTTGTATTTCTCTGTGAAGGAAGGAAAATTTTAACATAACATGTGATGACTTAAAAGATGGTGAGAAACGTGCCATCCCCAACCCGACCTGTAGCTTTGAAGATGCCTTTCAGTGTTTCCCTGAAGTCATGGAAAGCATTGAAAAGGCGGGTTTCCGGCAGCCAACACCGATTCAGGTATGCTTTCCTTAATTCTAGTACCCACCCGCCCCCAGAAGGAGAGTACGATCGTGGTTACCAGCGGCCAAATGTCCGCTCCTGAAGGGCATCCCCCAGCACCGCCTGCAGGGACCAGCACCATCAGTGCCAAGCGCTCAGAGGTTATTGCATGAAGTTTAGAGCTTGGCAAAGAGGGGCAGAGGCAGTGAGGGGCCGGGGATAAACCTCAGTGGCGCAAGCGCCTGCCTGGCAGTTGTGAGGTTGTGAGTTCGATTCCTGGTACCAAAAAAAAAAAAAAAGAAGAGAGAGACAGCGCGAAGAAATGTACTTTTTGTTACACTGTTTATCATTCTTTTTCAGTCACAAGCATGGCCAATAGTCCTGCAAGGAATAGATCTTATTGGAGTAGCACAAACTGGAACAGGGAAGACGCTGTCCTATTTACTGCCTGGATTTATTCATCTAAACTCTCAACCAATGTAAGAATTCCTTTGGCTGACTTTTCTTTATAAGGATTTTGTAGATAGAGACACCAGAAACAAAATGCAGTTTCTTTTGTCTGTTGCATAGGTCAGGAGGTAATGGTTCATCTCAGGCAACATGTGAGGAAGGAGACAGTTAAACCCTGTGCTGATGAAAATATAAATTGGCAATAGGGGCCGGGGATATAGCTCAGCGGCACAAGCGCCTGCCTGGCAAGTGCAAGGTCCTGAGTTCAATTCCCCGTACCAAATAAAAATAAAATAAAGTAATTTTTAAAAATAAGAAAAGGGGCTGGGGATTTAGCTTAGCGGCACAGCGCCTGCCTGGCAAGTGCAAGGTCCTGAGTTCAATTCCCGGTACCAAATAAAAATAAAATAAAGTAATTTTTAAAAATAAGAAAAGGGGCTGGGGATTTAGCTCAGTGGCACAGCGCCTGCCTGGCAAGTGCAAGGTCGTGAGTTCCATTCCTGGTACCAGAAAAAAAACAAAAAAAAAAAA